CATGGAATAGAGAGCAGCTCAGGCAGTTCCTCGTCCGGCCATGCTCTTAACTTCCCTGCTGTGCAAAACCGGTCAGAAAGGTCTGCTGGGCACCAGGAAACATGAGTTTGGAAACTAATATGTCAGCGGGGATAGGAAAGGTTTGGGGAGCTGGGAGACCTGTTCTCAGGCAGAACAATACAGCCACTGCAGTAATCCTGCCAGGAGATGAGGGTGCCTGAACTGAGCAGGGGGCTTTGGGGACCAAGGGAAGTTGGGGAACTGGTGTTGTCTATGAGATATCATAGGGGAAAGAGAGGAGGGGCAGTATGGTTAGAATATAGGATGTGGGCCTTGAGATTTCCAGTGTGGGTAGTTTACAGGTTGTGAGTTGTTTGGAGGACATTTCCATAGCAGAGGTTGGTTAGATTGAAGAGCAGGTGAATAGTGTTGGAGCTGAGGAAATCAAAGAACTGAAAGAGTTTGCACCAATGGGCCACGTAGTAGACCACATGCACAGGATGATACCGAGACTGATGAAGGTTAGAGATGGTAACGCCATCAGTGAAGGCATATGAGTGAAGACATATCAGTAGTGGCTGGAAGGCTGTTACCTGTCCAGCCCTGTGAGGGGTGAGAAAGTGCCACCAAGGGTTGCCTCCACTTTACCCAACCTTTCCCACGGTGTCCTGGCTCTCAGGTTTCCTAGCATTTCCACCTATCATTCCTTCTGGCCTGAGATCTCTGACTTCATGTCATATTTCATCCAATCTAAGACACTATCAATTTAGTAAAGTAATTATCTTTCACTAGCTCAGATATCACTTCTAATTATAAGGCTTCCTTGATACTCTCAGGCAAAATTAAATACCATGCTCCGTGCCATAAGTTTAGAGTCAGACAACCTTACTGGTAATCCAAGCTCAACAAACATTAGTTCTGTGAATTTGAACAAGTCACCTGAGCAATCTGTTTCAACTACCTCATTCATAAAATGAGGATATAAATAGTAATACTTCAGTAGTGTGTCTGTGAGAATTAAAGAAGCTCTTAACTTATTTCCTGGGACATCCGTATTGCTTAACAAATACTCCTCTTTTTGCCCCCATGGAGAACCTTGTATGCATCTCAGCCATACATTCTCCATCTCTATGGTAATAATTTGTTTACAGTCTGGTGATCTCTTTAGTGCCAGAGACTTTGTCTTCCTGCTCCCACTGCACCCAGGGCCTGTCAGTAATGCCTGGCTTGAATCAGAGCTCCAGTAGTTGTTGCTGAAGGAAGTTAGGTTTTGTTGAGATGCCAGGGTCCAGCCAGAAGTAGATCTGAGCTGCAGAGGGACTGAGTATCCAGCAAGTTTCAACCAAATTAGTCGTTATGCTCTGAACGGTTGCTGGAAACAAGAGAAAAGTTTGAGGTAGAAAGGGACTGCAGAGAGTGATTACTGGGGGACTCTGAGCTTTTACCTGGAGAAATTCTGAATTGGATCGAGCCTAATAAAAACAGGACAACCACGAAAACAATCCAGCAGAGGAAAGGTGCTGCCCTCCCATCTCAGGCGCAGTGCTTGATGTTCGTTCAGGTTGAGGTAGACTGCGCTGAGAACCCAGGAGAGGAGGCCAGATCCCACCCAAAGACGGAACTCGTATTAACACTAGACTAGAGTATACATGTTGCTGCAAAAGATGTATGTTCATGAGGTCCTGATCCAGAAACATATTCCTAATTGGACAAAGACAAACATGGAGGGGCTCCCACAGTGGCCAGGCAACCGCAGGTCTCATGTGGGGAAAGCCTTCCTTACTGAGGCACATGTGGCTGGCAGCACAGGGGCCTGAGAAGTGGGGATGGGAGGGTGTGAGGGGCCCATAGCCATGAGAACTCAGTCCACTCAATGTGATCTTAAATTCAGAGACCCAAAAGGATGTGTTCTCACAGTCCACTCTCTTTCTGGTATTCCTGGGTATTTCAGGAGCCCCTGAAAGGCAAAAGGAGAGTCCAATTGCTGGCTAAGTAAAAGGAACCCCTCGGGCTCACACTGGTGGTGTTTTGAT